CCGCCTTTAACTTCTTTGGCTCATATCATCAGCCTTTAGATCCCTTAATGGTTTGTAGATCAGAGGTCCAGCCTTGTCACTACATATTACTTACCTACCTACTGGCAGTGCCCTTTCCTTTAAAGGCATGTAAAGCATGTAAAGTTTTGTGATATTTTAGACATAAATGCTACTACTAATGATAGCTATTACATATAGCCCTTACTGTTTGCCATGCTAAGCCTTTCACACATGTGACCTCATTTGATCCTAGCAAAACTTTGTGAGTTCAGTATCATCATCATCATCATCATCATCATCATCATCATCATCATCATCTCCATTTTATAGATGAGGAAATTAAAGAATGGAAATATCAAGTAACTTGCCTAAGGTCATTTAGCCTGCTAGTGGCAGAGCCATCTCCAGAGCCTATGTTCTTAATACTGTTCTATGCTTATTGTCTTTACAACCTTGCATTTTTGTTGCTGGATTTTTGTGTGTTTGTGTTTGTGAGATGTCACATTTGTTATAGCTTCACCACATTGCTCAGAAGTAGGGGTGGGTATTTTCTCATTTTACATTCAGGAAAGTGCACAAAGGACTTTAAGTGACTTGCCTAGGCTTCCTAGTTCCTGACTTTAACCATTAGGTCACATAGTCTTCCTTCCCTCCTAGAATTAATTGCGTACATCTTGACCAGAAGGTTTTGGGAAAGATGACTTTTAAAAAGCTTTGCTTCTGGGGAATACCTGAGTCACAGGTTTGTGCACAGGATTTTGATTGGCTTTGTTGCAGTTAAGGCTTCTGAGTTGGTTTTCTTGCCAAGCAAGCAGTAAGTGCCTTCTGTCAGGAAAACAGAGACATGTTGCCAGCTATTTTGAACAATGTTAGAAATACACTGCAGTGGGAAGGAACTGCCTCTGACTTCTGCCCACTTCTTGAAATATTTTAAGGCTAGCCGTTTGGAAACTTTGTTATCAGTCCCCATTGTAATCACAAGGAGACCATTCTTATCCCAAAGCTGAGGTTTCAGGAGTGAATAGGTTAGGGGTGGTTTGGGTTTGTTTGTTTTTAATGATCTCTGGTTCTTTGCCCACTTTGCTGGAACTTCCAGTCACTTTAAGTAGAATGTGAACCAAGTGATTCTCATTCTTTCATTGTCTGCCTTCTCATTTCTGTCTGCCTGCTGTGCTGTGGTCCTCCCTGGGTTATTCATGTAGTTGAGATTTTCTAATCAGTTGCTGCTATCTGTGTGCTTTATAAAGAAAAGAGACAGCTTCAAATATGCATTTTCCTCTGGGAGAATTCCAGTTCTCCATTTGTTTCTGTGTGTGCCTTTCCTTCCCTTTGTTCTCCAGAACCAGTTGCACAGTTCAAACTGCTGAAATGATCCAGCAGTGAAACCAATCATCAGTACTTACAGATTTTTTTTGGTAACATAGTCTCTTTGTTTTTTTCCTGTTTTTTGGGGTTTTGTTTTTTTTTTTAAGTAGGCTCCACCAAAGTGGGGCTTGAACTCATTACCCTGAATCAAGACCTGAGCTGAGATTAAGAGTTGGATACTTAACCGACTGAGCCACCCAGGCACCCCTTTTTCCTGTTTTAATTAAGTCATTCCCACCCAAGTCTCAGGAAACAACGTGATAAGATGTTAACATCTTAGAAAAATTACAGAAATGTGTTTTCAGAATTACCAATAATTTCACTGGACCTTCAAGTCATGTTTTTCCTATTGAAGTCATCTTGTTATTAGATAGATAAATGAGATAAGATATACAAAGAGCTTGGAACGTGATAAATACTCAGGGTGTGTTAGCTGTTTACTTAGTTTTTTGTGTTGTTGTTTTTGGTTTCTCTTTCTGTCTTGAACTGTTGACTACGTAATTCCATTTCTCATCTGAAAAAGAGAGTCCAATATAAAACCTGTGTTTGGTTAGAGACATACCTTCTCCCTGATCCTACCTGCCTATTCCACCACACAGGCATGTAAAGTGCATCTCCACCAGCATAGCAGTCTGGAGCCTATCATTCTACAGCAGTGTGTTAGAAAGCAATGGCAGTATATGGGGTATTTCATGGTAC